TGCTGAAATCCTGGCACTCAAATACAGAACCAGTTACCCAGCTTCACAACAGGAGAGGGGAAACCAGAGGAACGTATCGACACCTAAAAAGCCACGACGAGCATCAAATGGTGGTGTGAGGAGTTAAGAGTTTTTCTCTGTGGTCTCTTGCACCTTGACAGCAGTCATCTGAAACTGTGGCACGTAGGGCACGGTGCTTTGACACTTCAGGCTACTTTGGATCAGAGCATTTAGAGCAGGTGGTGGACGCTGGAGCAGCCCCACATCTTTGAGCAGGTTGGTTGTGTGCAGCTGACACATCAGCCCAGAACCCTGTGTTATAAAAATGTCCCTTTCTCCTTTTTCCAGGGATGTTACCCCGAGGTAGCAGAGGTTCCTCTCGGGACTAGCTCCATCTGCAAAAGCATCCTCCTGATCTGAAGGCTCTGAAAAGCCCTCTGAAGAAATAAGGGAAAGGGAAAGAGTCTTGCTGGGCTGCCTGCCAGGCGGGTCAGGGAGGAGGAGCAATGTTGTGTTCCCCACCTCCCAGGAGCTGCTCGAGAAGGTGCCTCTGACTACAGAGTCTTCAACAAAGAAGCATCTACCAGAGCAATTTTCTAGATTCCTCTCCTCTTCGTAGAGCCCACTGGATGCAGAGCTGCTGATGATAGTGGCATATTTAACATCCGCCTGCCTGGCTGCTTCTCCATGGACGTGGTCATCCTGGGAGCCCTCTGAGAAGCTGCTGCTGTTGAACTGGCTGCTGGAGCAAGCAGAGTCGTGTTCAGAGTCTTGAATTTTTGTAAACATCGAATCGATTACTAAAAAATCTTGTGTGTCTTCTTTCTTCAGGGTTTTAGTAACTGTGATGTCTTCCAGCGCGATTTCGGGCTCCAGAAGAAGAGGCTCAAATGACATTGCTTCAGGGTGCTTGATAAAAAGATGCTCAAATGTTTCAGGCTAGAAGAAAAGAGATATTTTAATGCTTATCTCTTATTCAATAGCTTTATTTCAGTAGGAAGCTACTGATTTTAAGAATCACAGACAAAACCCCCATAGTTTTAGTAGCAGTGTAGAGCTGAAAAGGCTCTAAAGCTCTTTTTCCTCTTTTTTTTAGGTCTGTGTGTAGGTGAAGACTGAGACAGGAGAAAAAAGCAAGACCCTGTTTGTGTGTGAGGGGCTTTTGAGCTCAGAGAGAAGCAGCTGAACGCTCCTGTTCCTCCCAACATCACTAAACATGCCCATGCTGTTAAAAAAAACCACCCAAGGCTCAAATTCAGCCTTTCTGTAGCAATTTTAGGGTGTTCCCAGCTGAGCAGCAGCTGTATGTTAGAACTGCAGGAAGGGAAACATGGTTATGGTGGAGCCACGTGTGTTTTACCCCTGCCTGATATAGGTGTGTGTAAAATACACAACAGTGGGAGCTGACAGCAAAACTTCTGCTGCCCCATGGAAGCCATCTGAGAATCACAGAACCATGAAGGTTGGAAAAGGCCTCCAGGATCATCAAGTGCAACTGTCAACCCAACACCACCACGAGCACTAAACCACGGCCCCAAGTGCCACTTCTATATGTTTTTTGAGCCCCTCCAGGGATGGGGACTCCAGCACCTCCCTGGGCAGCCTGGGCCAAGGCCTCACTGCTCCTGCAGCAAAGAAATTCTTCCTCATAGCCAATCTAAACCTCCCCTGGTGCAACTTCAGCCCCTTGCTCTCATGCTGTCACTGGTTACTTGGGAGCAGAGACCAACCCCCACCTCACTCCAACCTCCCTTCAGGGAGTTGTAGAGATCTTCCCTTGATGGACACAGCAATGCAGCAGCAGGCTACTGGTCCACTCCATGTGTACTGCCCACAGGGGCATTTTCAAAATGGGAGACAGATATTATTAGCAGGAAGCTTTGAATAACCAAAAAAAACCTGCATTACCTCCTGACACAGCCTCCTACAGCCACAGCTGCCTTCTCCTGAACAGAGAGGGTTTAGAGCCCTTCCAAACTGCTCTTGCTCCCTCACCCCAGCCCCAGTATCTGCTCTTATAAATGCATATGTGTACCACACAAAATATCCAGAGATCTTGGCTGCAAAGATTAAACATATCACGTTCAGAGAGGGGTGTGTTGTCTGGCAGAGGCCACCATCTGTCACTACCATTGCTTATGAAAACATATCAGAGATTTAATCAAATACAAATCACAACCCAACAGCCTGAGGAGCTGTGTAACTCCAGCACACCAGCAAGCACAGAGCAGAGAGGGTGAGGAGTGCTGGGTGTCCATGGTATGGATGGGCAGGGTGTGATCTGGGCACAAACTGGGCTCAACCACAGGTCTCTGCAAGAGAGAGGCTCATTCCCCTGCAAAATACCTGTCGTTGTGTCTCAGGGATTACTCCAGGACTAGATCCTAAAGCTTGTTTACTTTTATTTACTATCCTATTGACCAAATAAGAGGAATTTTTATCATTTGGACATTATGTATACAGAGATTAGATACATGACCAAGTTTAGACACAAGACCAAGTTTAGATACAAACCCAAATCTAGATACAAGACCACGTCTAGATGCAAGACTTGCCTGATTTAGATGATGGTTTTCACCTCCTGCTGCTATGAAAGTATCATCAGAATAAAAAATACTCTATAAATGCAGTTCTGGAAGTACACAACGTGCTATATTGAATATACAAAGTAATGCTCAGATGTAGACTCAAGGGTTCAATATTGAGATGTAGCAGGACAAGAGAGATCTACATCAAGTGCCTTCAGAAAGACATCAGGACTTTCCAGTAGTGGTAGATCAGCTATTTATGTCATCAGTGCTTATTGGAGCCAAGGAAAGACACCACACACATATTGAGTGCTGTTTCTTTGACTGGACACTGCATGCATGCACACAAAAGTAGCATTTGTGCCTAAAAACATGGTTTCAAAGAACATTTCCTGGCCTTGGACACTCATGAGGGGAGTGAGAGATGGCCATGCTGACCTGAGCACAGGCACCATGCCTCCAGTGTGGCTAACACAGAAGAGGCAGGAGGTCTCAGACTCACATCAAACTCCCATTCCTCTCATACTTCCATGCATCATTTCTTCCAATTAATTATGGCAGAAGGCACATGATGATGGAGCACTACCACCAGGGTGTCAGCTTCTACCCTCTTTTCCTAGTTCAAACTTCAACCAGCTGGTGAGGAGAAGCATCTCCCACGTGCATCATGGAAGCTTCATCCACCTCTGCAGCCAGGGTTGCCCAGGGCTGTGCCAGGCTGCCCAGGGCAGTGGTGGAGTCCCCACCCCTGGAGGGGTTTCCAAGCCATGGAGATGTGGTGTGAGGGACACGGGGCAGTGGGGACCTGGCAGTGCTGGGGGAACAGTTGGACTTGACCTTAAAGGTCTCCTCCAAGCTCAACAATTCTACAATTCTACAGTTGTCACAAACTCCTTTTGCCCTGTATGAAAAGATTAAACAGACAAATCCAGGTGCACTGGTGCAACTCAAACTCGTGCAGTTTGGGGCTATTCCAAGAGTCCAGCACCATCCTCCAGAAGGAAGCCCAGGAGCTTCACTTAATGATCCATCAGAGAAGTACTTCAGCACATTAAAAAGCCACCAAAAAAAATTATTAGTTAAAAAATAAGCAGAAACTGCCCTAATGCCACTGAAATCAGATTTTCCTTGAGGATTTCTGGCTTGTTTTGTCCAATGTAGACCTCATGTTAGAGATTATTCAGGGACCTGCACTGGTGTGGCTGCAACAATGAAGTAAATAACATGCACGTTGGGATTGTCAGGAAAGAGCAAGGGAACAAAATCCCAGCAGGGCACAACACACCCAGTCTCTGCAGCCTCTGAGCTGCTGCTGCAACCCAAATGCACTTGAAAAGTTCAAAAGACCATAATGGGACAAGCAAGTACTTGTGCAAACACAGGATGTGATCACTTGGATGTGCCTGAAGTCAGTGGACACTCCCAAGCTTGCAAATTGTTCCCAAATTGGAACAAGAACTCTGTTAGAATAAAAAGCCACTTTCAAGTGAGGTCAATAACTGGGCAGATCTCCCACTCAAGCTGGAGAAATCCCAAACCAATTGGATGTCCCTGTTTCCACTGCTGTGTCCTGGGAAGGGCTGGGCTCTTCTGGCTCCTTTTGAAAGCCAGGGCTTGAAAGTCCTCAGCCCTTTGCTGGTAGCAGCCCCAGCCAGCAGGGCAGTGAAGAAAAGATAAAGCCACCAGATCTGAAGTAAGTGCTCCTACCTGTGCAAGCAACAAACCATGTTGTGGTCTCTGACATGGCCCTTGCTCCTCATTTTTATAAGGACATCTTAAGATTTCTTGGGAAAGTTACTTCTAGGATTCATTATAATTAAACAAATCAGCATTGTATTGTTATTTGTGCTTCCTGTCTTCTGAATATAAATAGAAAAATCTTCTAACAACTCTACAGGGGGCATGGGAGCTGCTCCAGTGGGTCTGCAGGCAGTGACCATGATTAGACTTCCAACAGTGTCCATCCTCTCTTCAAATGAAATAAAAGATGAGGAGAGGAACCTTCACTGGCAACACAACCTGAAAAACCTTCTGCCATTAGATACTCTTTTAGGAATAACAGGCCTGAATTTAGATTACTATCTCAATTCTTACCCATTGTCCAGCTCTGGGACCATAAAAAACTGTCTGCTGGTGCAAACTGGCTGAGTCCATGCCAAGGCTCTTGTCCCAGCTCATCCCATCACAGCTCCCAGTTCACACGCCCAACAGAGAGGACTTCACCCCAGCACAGAATCCAGCCTTTGATAGACATGTGGCACCCACTGAGGAGCAGAACCAGGCTGGCTGTGGGGTTCTGCAACTGATTTGACTGATTGCCCTGAAATTTAAACCCTCCCTACACTGAAGAAGAGATGCTGGCCTCTAACCAAGAGGTAGAGCTCAGTCCTGAGCATTGTCAGACCCAGGGGGTGGAGAAGAAGCACAGCCAGGGAAATACACACCTTCTGAAAATTAACTCCTTGTGCCCACGAGCAATTCTTGGGGTTTGGAACATCCTCCCAAAAGAGTTTCTTCATTCTGAAACATGAGGTCAATTCTGGAGTTGGTATTGTTCTCACATTCTGTACTGCTGTCACTCACCTTTGCCATGATCTATTTATCCAGAACACTCTGACAATGAAACAACCATTTTAGATATTACAGATGGCCAAAATCTAATAGAAAAATAAATAAAGAATCATAGAATTGTTTTGGTCAGAAAAGACCTTTAAGATCAATCAGGTGGGAGTTCTGCAAAATATAAAAGGTACAGGCAGTCCTTGCTGAGCATGACCCCAACCCACCTTCCACAGCACTCAGAGGGATTTTTTTCAGTTGGCATTTACTTCAGACCTTCATTTGTGATGGCAATTAAATATAGGACCCAGGGTGCTTTACAAATTCAAAGCACTTCATGATGCTCGTGCACTTGCCCACAAACCCCTCTGCAGGAGTGAGGAGTATGTGGTACCACAGAATCATAGAGTAGTTTGGGCTGGAGGGGACCTTCAAGATCATCCAGTTCCAACCCCCTTGCCATGGGCAGTACATCAAATATATGATAAAAATAATTCCTGGCTTTCCCCAGGAAGCCTCTGCCCAGCAGTTCATTATCTCAGCTGTTCCATCTTCTTCTAAAGGCCTTCTGGGGCCTTCACATGACAATGACCAACTCACCTTTGGTGTGAAACCAGCAATGCTCCAAGCAAGAGAACTGAGGTTGAAATGACGATGGGCAGAACCACGGAGAGGCTGGTGTTGTTCTCAGTTTCATATTCACCTGGAAATGAAAGGAATTCAGATAATAATGCAGCAAAATAATCACTCTGTGAACAAACAGTTTGCAACAGGGAAGTAACAATGAGCAGAAGCAACAGCTTCAGAACAAAACTATTTGGTAAATGGTTTTATTACATGTCAGCAAATCTCTACCTTGAGAAGAAGCAGACAAAGAGGAAGGAATGAAGTTAAATACTGAGGTAGCTCCTGCACCTCCGTGGAAGCTGCCCAGTGCTCAGGTCCCTCACTCAACTAATCCCACAAAGAGCTTTCAAATGCAAGCTACTGAAGCCTAGCTCACTCTTTGTAGTTATATTACAACTACTTTATTATTGACATACTTTTTTTTCTGGTGAGATACAGACATCTGCAGCTAAACTTTATTTTTACAAGCTCCTATTTAAGATAAAACATGGAGAAAGAACCCACAAGTCACCTTTGGTGAACTGATCCGTTGCTTTGGATTTGCCAACTCCTTCAGCAAACACGGGGTAGAGCCTGAACTGGTACTTCTCAATCAGAATGAAGTGATCTGGGAAGAGGAAATCAGCCCTTGGGAATGGAAACCATCACCCTGCTTTTAAACAGCAACCTCTGGTCACCTCTCAGAGTTCAGATCAGCCCAGAGAGGAGAACATGAAAGCCATCGTTTATAGACACATATTTTCATATTAGAAGATGAAAACAATCTGTACTGGATAATCTGTCATGGAATCAACACCTTTATGGAGCTACTTGAAAAACTTTGAAGCTTAAAGCTAAAATGCAACTGGAATCATAGAATCATAGAATCATTTAGGTTGGAAGGGACCTCCAAGATCATCAAGTCCAACCACCGAGCCACCAGGGCTCCAAAGTCCTCTGCCAAAACAGATCAGAATCTGTCAGGGTTGGAGGGGACCACAAGGATCCCCCAGTTCCAACCCCTCTGCCATGAGCAGGGACCCCTCCCACTAGATCAGGCTGCCCAGAGCCTCCTCCAGCCTGGCCTTAAAGACCCCCAGGGATGGGGCCTCAACCACCACCCTGGGCAACCCATTCCATGGGCCTCACCACTGCACACATGAACTTAACTAGCTGGTGTACTCAATATTCCAGAGCTGATTTTATGGTATTGCCAAAAAAAGCAGTATTTTTTAATACTCATGATATTATAATCAGAATAAATAGTAGTATTTATATCACTTAACAACAACAACAACAATAATAATAATAGTAATAGATTAAACTTACACAACTCATATGTAAAACTACACTCATGGTTTATGAGTATTAAAGCAAGATTCCTGAGCTTCATTCTTTGTTAATCTTGGTTATTAATGCAACAGTCAGTCCTCTAATGATAATCAAGAATCTCTCTACTGGTCCCACCCCTAAAAACCATCAGAACCAGAGAGGGGGTGAAAAAGGAATCTGAGAGCTCAGCAACGTTACATTCTTCTCTTCCATACCAACTAACATCATGAATTATATTTTCAAGTTTGCACTCACCATAAATATAATATTTACTAATATTTGGAGGAACTCGCACCCATTTCATCTCCTCTTCTTTGTTCAGGTTCTTCCACTCAATAACAAAAGATGTGATCTCGTGTAGCTGAGGTGACAGTGTCCAAAGCAAAATGACACAGGTGCTGTTCACCGGGTAGGCGCGAAGCGACCGCACGACGCCCACTGCCAGGAGAGGGAGAGGAGAGCTGTGGGGCACCAGCACCACGGCACGTGGGTCACACAGAGGGGACACTCCCAACTGCAGGAAGGGCTGTCAGCACCTCATCATCTCCTTGTGGAATTATCTTCTATATACAGTCGTTAAGGTTGGGAAAGACTTTGAAGATCATCAAGTCCAACTGTCAACCCAACACTACCATGAGCATTAAACCATGGCACCAAGGGCCATGTCTACATGTTTTTTGATCCTCTCCAGGGATGGTGACTCCAGCCCCTCCCTGGCCAGCCTGGGCCAAGGCCTCCCCACTCTGCCAGGGAAGAAATGCTTCCTCATATCCAAACCAAACCTCCTCTGGTGCAACTTAAGCCCTTCTCCTCTTGTCCTATCACTAGTAACCCGGGAGAAGAGACCAACACCCGCCTCACTCCAACCTCCTTCCAGGGTGTTGTAGAGAGCAAGTTCTCCCCAGATCCTCCCCAACACCCACCTCACTCCAACCTCCTTCCAGGGTGTTGTAGAGAGCAAGTTCTCCCCAGATCCTCCCCAACACCCACCTCACTCCAACCTCCTTCCAGGGTGTTGTAGAGAGCAAGGTCTCCCCAGATCCTCCCCTTCTCCAGACTAAACCCTCCCAGGTCCCTCAGCTGCTCCTCACAAGTCATGTTCCCCAAGCCCCTCCCCAGGTTCGTTGCCCTTCTTTGGACCTGATCCAGCCCCTCAAGGTCTTTATTCTACTGTGCTGACCCCAGCCCTCCAGCTGTGGCCTCCCCAGCACTGAGTCCAGGGGCACCATCACTTCCCTGCTGCTGCTGGTCACACTGTTTTTGGTATAATAGAGCCTGATCTCTAGTTCACATGAGTAAACCTGTTTCTTTGTAAGCCAGCAAAGCTTGCTTTGTACCTGCTGGTCCTGAACACCAAATAGATCAAGTTTCTTACCAGACACCAAACACTCTGAGTCCCCTGTGCACCTCCTTAATTATCACTCCTTAACTAAAAAACATCAGCAGCTACTGAACTGTCCCCATTTAGCAGGTGAAGTGCACGTGGAGAACCCTGTAAACTAAATCCCACGGAATCTCTCCCAAGGAAAACACCAGGATCATGATCCAGTCGGACAAACTCTTCCCATCACATCTCCCACCAACCAGAGGGTTTCCAAAACACGCTTACACACACCACCAGAAAGAATTTAATCCATAAAAATGCTTTTTAAGTGGCACC